ACATCTAGCACTACAGTATCTCGTACGAAACTACTTTCGAGTAGAACATGTAGTGGCAGTTAGATTGGCCAAAAGTGTGTCAAGCCTACCTGCAGTAAAGTACGCCACCGGGTCTACGCTGATCCACTATGACAACGATATCAGCCCGGCTTTCCACTACTACGAGTGTGTGGGCACCGGCCTAAACATTTCTCAGATCACTGGTAGCACTCATTCCAGACTCATTCAATGCTTGACTTCACGTGTCCCTTCCTTAGGATTTCACGACGACCTAGCTAAATATCAGCACTCAAGCAACACGTCTGGAGAACACGATTCGCCTGGAAACAGGCCTCCTCCAGACACCCCAGGTGCTTCATCGCCGAGTGAAGGCCGTCTGTCGACAATCTATGAGGAAAATGAGGAACATAATATCGAAGCTATGATGCTGGAAGAGTGGTACGACGAGCTACGTATGGACCTTCATCCTACGACGACTACCGACGATTATCTTTACTGCGTCCCAACAACCATGCTGCCTGACCAATGTGTTTTGGTTTCAGCATCTGTGGACGAAGAAGATATCATATCATCGGACACGCTCGGAGACGAGCCTGAACCACGAGAGTCCTGTCTAGTCTCTCTCTGCTCAACCACACCTGACGAGAGCTACTCTCTTGACAGTGATGGATATGGTCCTTACGTTGAGTTATGTTTTACATCAGAAATGTCAAAACTAGTGTTGGGTCAGACTCAACTTGCACAGCTCGACACCGATATGGTCGCAACGATGAGAGTATATGTATCCTCTGCTGCTAAACGTGCTGTGATCGTTAAAGAAGATGATCTACTGACCAAAGCCGACATAGCAGCACATCCAAAGGAGGTTAGTGAAGCTCTGTATACTGAGCTCAAAATCTGGATTGACAACCGATGCTTTGAGATGTATGATTTATCCAAAGCTTCCAACATCATGACATCCAGGTATGTATACAAGTGGAAGTTTGTAAAGGTGGGTACCGAGAACGTTAAAACCATTCGTCTCAGACTTGTCCTTCGCGGATGTATGGATACTGAGGCTTTCGATGTGGAAACATTCTCGGGAACCGCCCGAAGGCAGTCCCAAAGAATCCTGGCAAGTGAGGCGGCGTGCCATCCAGAGTGGATCTTAGCATCCATGGATATCGACAAGGCGTTCCTCAAGGGTTTGACCTATGAGGAACTTGCCCATGCCACAGGCGAGGAAACTCGCATGGTCTGCTTCACTCTTCCACCGGGAAGTGCCCAGGTACTTCGTGCACTACCCGGCTTTTCATCCTATGACGAAAGCCGACACTGCCTCAGATGCCTCAAACCAGGAACGGGTACAAAGGACGCTCCAAGAGCGTTCTCTCTCCAACTTCGTACGACCACACGAGCTATGGGTCTTGCACCGACCAGTTATGACCCTGAATTTGAATTCAGCCAAGATTTGCTAACGGCAAAACATGTCGATGATATTAACATGACTGGCCTAGAGAAAAATATAGACGACTACGTACAGCGTGTCGAAAAGGTGTTTGGCAAATGCAAGCTAAACAAACACACATATACGAACTGCGCCGTTCGCTACACTAAGAATCATCAAGGGGATGTGATTATGGATCAGGACGAGTATATCAAACAACTACGCCCTATCACACACCCAGAACTTACAGGAGCGGCGGCCTATGCCAGAGCCACGAAACTCATTACCGACATGTTCGTCAGCTTGCGAGGAGCCCTCGCCTATGCCCTTCTTACTCAAATCTGGCTCATGGTATACGTGGTCTCTCTCCAGAAAATCCAAGAGCCCACCAATGTGCAAGTCAGACGCCTGAATGCTGTGACGCGAAAGCTGATCAGCAGCCCGAAACGCATCACCTTCCCTCGGATGAAGCCGACGAATGAAGTTGACATCCACAGCGATTCGGGGTATCGGAAGCTTACCGGGGAGGAGGATGATGAGACCAAGGGCTACGGCATACGCGGGGCGAATGTACTACGGCGAGGAAACTCGCCTCAAGGCAAGTCCGTCGTTCACCTCTGTGACGGACTATGCAAATCACACCGACTGCAGGTGAGGTCCAGCTATGCTGCGGAGGCACTCGCAGCGGCGCATAACCTCGATGAGTGTTACCCTACGCTCATCACTCTCCACGAGCTCAAGGCAGGAGCTCTGACTCCACGACAACTACGAGATATGCGTGAAGTTGGAGGCCTAGCCATCAAAGTATCTCTTAGACGCTGAGTCCGTTTATAAATCATTATCAAGCAAAGATCTTAAGATACCGACAGAGCGGACTCTGCTTGGACATATCAGTTGGATACGTGAGCTCATGGATATAGGTATAGTACATAACGTGCAGTGGTGTGATACTAGGGATATGACCGCAGACGGGCATACAAAGGGAAGCATCGATCGGGAGCTGCTTCTGGAAGTGATGTCAGGCACTCAGTCATTCAAGTATGACGTGAAGCAGTTTGTTCCCTTTCGGGGTCCCGAGGACAGAAACAAACCCAAGTCTAATCAATTTTAGTCTGTCCTTGTTGCCCCCCGCGGTCCAATTTGCCAGCATGGGCGCCTACTACAGAGGCGCCCTTCTAGTTGCTCGGAAACGAGCCTTACATTTCACGCCTGGCAACGAGCCGGCTTTATATGACTCAGGCTCTTTGCCTTAATACATATTTGCTCGGTGAGGTATGGCCCGTTTGGCTTACCTTTAACTGAGCCGATAGCCCCTCATCATTCAAAGGGGCTATCTTGTATTTGCGTGAAATGCCTTGCGAGGAAACTCGCCTTACAGTCTGGTGTTAGGCCAGACTGTACACACTGTTTTCTTTCTTGCAAACAGTTGTGCGCGCGGCCTTTGTAGAGCCTAACGGCTGCGCGGCTATGCTCTCCGTCTCTTCCCCTCCCGACTTTAAGGGTCGCTCTTTGGGATATGTTATAGTATCGGGAGCATAGCTCGCGCGCCGTTGCCTTTGGCTCAAGGCACGCGCGCCCTATTTGCCCGGACACCGCGAGTGTTCGCTATGTGCTGGAAAGACCGATACATCGATCTTATCCTATCTTATCCGTCCATTCCTCTTACTGAACCACGTCAGTACGATACCGGACGTTATTTGCCATCCGATGTCTACGGAATCGGATGCTATTTGAGTTACCAGGCTCACTTTCGACTTCTTGGAGTCCTCTTTGGGCGTCGTCGAGGTCTCTTGGGCCGTCTGGGGGCCATCATTGGGCGTCCTGGAGCGTTCGTTCGGCGACTCGGGGCCCTCTTGAACCGACTTGTCGGTCTCCGGGAAACCTCTTGGACCGTCTCGGGGCGCTCCTGGGCCCGAAAGGGCCACGCGACAAGCTGCGCCCAGGCAGACTTTGTCGCCTCGGTTTATGCTGTTCCAACCATCCTACTTCAGCCTTGATCGCCAGAAATAATCCTTTTCGAGCGCCAGTCGAGCGCCAGAAAGCTACCGAAACTCGAGCGTTTTCGCGTGTCGGGCCCTGGGAGACACTCGCCCGACACTGTTTCGACACTGTGTCGACGCTCTTCCGGGTGCTCGAAATTATTTCTGGGATGTGGTCCTCAAGCACGAGGGGGGCAACCTGAGCCTCGGTTCCGCCGTCCAGCCGTCGCCATATGGATCCATACCCTGTCGCCCTGCCGGGGCGACGCCGGCGCGCGCGGCCCGGGCCTGGCGCGCGGGAGCCGGGATTTTTGTTCTCTCTCTCCGCGGCGGGGGGTCCCGCCCTCGCGCTCGCTCCGTGCGGCCAGAAGGGGGAGGGGGAGGGCGGGAGGGCGGCCGAGGCGAGGGGGCTCCGGCATCGTTCGAGGGGTCCCCATCCCCAGCTCCATCCCCTGCGATACCCCCCACCAGATGGCCACCCCAGTTGGGGATACACCCCTCGAAGCCCGAGGAGAAGTGCCTATCTCCCCATCTGGGGGGGCAAATCGGCCAGCGGGGCCCAGGCCACGCCGCTGGGGATGGAGATCGGTGAAACGAGACCCAGAGCTTGGGAGGGGGGAGGGATCGGGGGGGAGGGGGAGGAGGGAGGCGGAGGACGAGGGGGATGAGACGTGAGAGGATGATGATGATGATGATGATGATGATGATGATGATGATGATGATGATGATGATGATGATGATGATGATGATGATGATGATGATGATGATGATGATGATGATGATGATGATGATGATGATGATGATGATGATGATGATGATGATGATGATGATGCTGATGATGATGATGATGATGATGATGATGGCGGTTGTTGTGGTGATGGTGGTTTTGGTGGTTGTGGTGACGACGACGACGATGCTGCTTCTGATGATGATGATGATGATGATGATGATGATGGTGATGGTGATGGTGCTGATAATGAAGATATGATGTGGTTATGATGATGATGATGCTGATGATGATGATGATGATGATGATGATGATGATGATGATGATGATGATGATGATGATGATGATGATGATGATGATGATGATGATGATGATGATGATGATGATGATGATGATGATGATGATGATGATGATGATGATGATGATGATGATGATGATAGATATGGTGATGATGGTGTTGGTGGTGGTGGTGTTGATGATGATTTGAAGATGGGGTAGGGAGGGATAGGGAAGGCACAGTAGGAGTATGAGGTGGGGGACGTGATGATACACATTAAGGATGAGCAGCATGACAAGGAAGGGGTAAGCGGCAGGAGGCGGAGGGGAATGAACCACATAATGTGATGATGGCGTGACGGTGGGGAGGAGGTGAGGGAGACGACTGGAGGCGGGAAGGCTGCGAGGGAAGCATCGGGAAGGGGGAGTCGGGGCGTAGATGGCAGGAGGGCCCCGCTGTTCCCACCCTTCCCGCCCCCCCTCTCCCTCCTCCCCCC